GATGTCCATCATACATAGGTACGGATGATAGGTCAGTTGGTGGAATTTGTTGAGGAGTTGATGCTTGATGTCGTTCAGTTGTTGGTAATATTCGAGAGGATTTATTTGTTGTACGTGGTGTACGTAGTCGTTTTGGTGCTGTTGCTGTTGCTGCTGTTGTTGATGCTTTTGGAGTTCGACCTAAACGACGTCGTGGTTGTTTTAATTCATTTGATGATGATAATGTATCATTAGACAGATTTAATGAAGGATTTTTTTCATCAGGATTAATAATCCACCATGATGATTTACCTGTACCTTCACTTTGTATACGTTTAAATCGATTATGTAACGATAAATTATGTCGAATAGAATTCTTGGAAAAAGAAAGATAGAAAAATAATTTTTTTGATTTTCATAAAAATTAATTTAGTAATTACCTTCCAACCAGCACTACTGGCTCTATCAACTTTATTACGAAAGAAAGGAACATATTTAATCATCCAATCATAAATTTCTGATAATGTTAAACGTTGTTCAACACTTGTTGTAATAGCTTTACTAATTAATTCAGCATAGCTTAAATTACCCCATGCATTTTTTCTTGTACCACTACCATTCTTTTTAGTTAAACCTAATTCATATTCAACATGTTGAGCTAATTGTGGATCAATATCAGTTAAAGTATTAGTGCCTGTTGGTTCTACGGGCACAGCTGCAACTATTGATGTCGTCGTTGTAGTTGTAACACCTGTTGAAGATGAAGTCTTTGGTGAAAGTGATGATGAACAGACAGATGGTGATCGTGATGAATCACTATTATGATAGTGATGATAATTATGAAGGTCAGAATGATGTTTAACCATTGGACTGTCAAGAAATAAATCACAAGATGATAGAATACCAGTCATACTGTTGTGTATTGTCGTTCAGTGTTAATAGTTGCATCGGAAAAGAGTTGTTAGACTAGAAGTAGAGAGACGACGATGATGATGACGACGACGATAATGATGATGAATGAAGAGGGAATAGTTTTCTAGAATATACAGCTGATGATTGACTTCGATTGAAAAGATAGTTATAGAAAGAATATAGGAAAAAAAACTTTTTTCATCATCTTCTTCATCTCCTTTTTATTCTCGGTTTTTGTACGTAGCCGGAACCTATGAATGCCTACAGTGGCATCGAGAGCGCACAAGCGAGTCGTTCAAGGACGTGATTAGTGCATGCGTCTTGCCGCCGCTCCTCTTTCTCGTCTCCTTACACCATTTTTCTCTAGCCCGACGCTTTTTTGTATTGAGAAGCAAAAAAACAAAATCATTCTTCTCTCTTTTTTTCCTCCATATTGGATAGACGCGTTATGTCGCATCGCGTAATTTTTTTTTTGCCTTTTTTTTTTTTCTTCGCTTTTTTTCCAGCCGCTCGAGTACTGCACGTCGTAACATATAACAACGATAGACCGACGGGGCAACCCGCTAAATACATATAAAGAGAAAAGGAAAGGGATCGCACAAGCTCGTCTGCTCTTCATAATCACATATAGAATATATATTATATATTATATATATATAAAGAGTGTGGTAATATTCCAAATATTTCGTTCGTTCTTTCTTTCGTTTATCTGTTCTGTTCCTTCTTTTTTTCTTCTTTTTCTTCTTCTTCTTTTTTAGTCTCCATTTATATTAACACACGAGGAGGCATCTGACTGCGTATAAGACAACAGTAAAAGAAACGAGGAGGAGGAGGAGGTATCTTACCCGGTTGTAGATGCGCTCGTGCAGATTGACACGAACGTCCGGAGTTGAGTAAATCTTCATTCTGTTTCTCTCATCATTCTATCTTGTCGATCGTACATGGACTTTAGTTAGCGTACAGCAGAGCACATCAGAAAGAAGATAGTAGTAGGATGAATAGTTCTACTGTTAGTGATAGATCGTTAATGGAATGAAATAGCGACAAAAAGAAATCGAGACTGTTTCTCTCTCAGCTATTGTTCTTTTTCTCTTCCTAGTAACAGGAATATTACATGACACCTTTCAACAGACATCGAGAATGGTAAAGCGTGCGCGTCAGAAGAAAAAGACGATGAAGTGGAGCATGTTGACACTCGCTATTGTCTTTTTGGCCTTGAAACATTGAATTGACAGATCTCACTAAAAGAAACAAAAATGATGTATTACTGATTATGTAGATACAAAATATAAAAGAAATATATGTCCAACTTTGAAAAGCAAAAGATTAACATCAATGCAACATAATTAGAAAGGAAAGTCGACGATGAAATATCATATCGTGTCCGTTTTTTTCTTTCGCGCACTACTTTGTTCCCATCATACAGGTGTGCGTGCTGCTCTTTCTCTGCCTCACACACACACACACATAAACGAAATCAAATTACATTCCTTTTTTTCCTGGGAGACATTGAGTGAGGAGAGCGAGAGAGAGTGAGAGACCGTGTGTGTGCGTGTGCGCCCGCGCTTACTCGAACACGTTGATGAAGGTATGCACAAAAAAAAAAAGAAAACGAAACTAACATAATGACGACAACGATAATCATAATCTTCTCTATTGTATAAAAGCTTCGAGAATAATGTGATTTGATCTAATTCGACAGCTATGCTACTAAAAATAATACCACGCTATATCACAAAATAATGTTACACATATATACTTGAAAAACGACATTGAGAAGAAGAATATTCATATCTATAGAATCATTCAATTGAATAGAAAGCGTAGAAATCAAAAAATGATTCTTGTCATAATTAATTTATTCAGATAACTAAATGTCCGTAATAATTCTTATTCATTAGACAAAAATTGCCATATATATTAACGATTAATATTGTAATAATTTTTAAAATTTTCAAATCGATAATTATAATTATAGTTATGAAATTAATTTTCTTTGAATTTTTATTTACTATTAATAATATCTGAATAGATCTATAAGAAGAAAATGAATGGTTGAAGTTCTTATTTTTATATGTGTATATTTAAAATTCAATGGATATAATTTGCTTTTGTTTGATTAATTGAAAAAAACTATTGAATTTCTTCAACGAAAGGACAATAGTATTGGGAATTTTTATAGAAATGTCTATAAAACAAAAAAAAGTGATTTTACACAAAAAATATTTTTTGCGATGAAAGTTTGATCTATCGAAGAGTAAAACAAACTTAAATAAATCTATTACAAACCATATGAAAATTGTTTATTGAAAATGAATCTATTTTCTTTCTAGAACAATACAAAACTGATTAGATAATATTTCCCATAGTTATTTATGGATATATCAATTTTTGTATATAAAGAAAAAAACAACTACAACAAAAATAATAAACAAAAAACAAAATTTAACTCGGAGTTGCATCACTGGGATCTTCTTTTTGTTTATATCGATTAGATTTTTCTTTTGAAGATGATGATCTTAATTCTTGATCAAAACGTTCTTTTGCTCGATAGATTTTTGATTGTAGATAAAATGAACCACCTTTTGTTTTATCATTAAGATCAAATAAATGTTCATAGTTAGTTTTGATTTTTTCAACATCAGTTAAATCTGGATCGGCTATATTAAGAATTTGTTTTGCTTCCTAGATAGATATCGATTTAGATTTATTTCAAATAGGAAATATTCAAAAAGATATATACTTGAAGACTCATACCAGTGATACGATCAGCTTGAACAGTTTTTGTCGTTGTTTTACCACTTTGTGAAGCAGTTTTTGCATCTAATATATAAAATATATCAAATCGATAAAGTGAATAATTTTTGTTACATACGTTGAAGTTCCTGTCGAAGTGCTCGTGTAAATGCTCGACCAATTACCTGCGAACCTAATATCGCTATTTGAATTAGATGTTTTGCCTTATTAATGAGAAAGAAAAATAATGAGACATTGAATAGTATAAATATAAATATACATACCATTTAATGATATTTATGATAATTAGTCAAAAACGAAAAGTAATACATTTATATATCAAACATTCGTAATGATCTAAAATGATTGAAATATATTATTATTCATAATATAAATTCTAGTTTATTTTTCTTTTTTGACTCTAATATATAATGACATTAGCATAGATAAAAAATGACTAACAAAATCATTGCATGAGAAAAAAGAGTTTTCTTTAAATATCAATTGAATCCTGATTTTATTATGTAGTCGAAAATCGATTTACTTCACGTAATCGACAAACATAGATGTCGTATACCATCATATTAAAATAAAAAATAAATTTTCGTTAAAAAACATCGATCTGATATTTCCTAAATTTGATTGCAATGCATGATTTAAATCTATTAATTTGAAGATACAAAAATTATTCATAAGACGTTTCCAACTATCTATACTAAAGTTGAACTCTACTACAAAAAATAATGAGACTTTTATTTCTATATGCATAAATATAGCTTACGTACCAATGATGAAATTACGTTTGTATATACATTTTTTTGAAAGATAGCTTTACGTCACACTTGTATGCATACTCTCACTCGTTGCAGCATAATTCATATACTATTTATTGTCTGTATTTCACTGCCAGATAACTAGGCAATAAGAATACTCTTTACAGATACTTTTCATTTCATACTATGCATACTATAGTCTGCTAACTGTAGTTCGAGATCCGAATTGAAATATATTAGATAAGAGATATATGTATGACGCAAAGTTCTGATTCCAGTAGTAGTATATGAATAAATACTATCTATTGGCATTTTTTCTTTAACTTGTAAAATGCATTCACAAATCGAACATAGATGTTTGCCATTATTAATATATGTTCTCTCTTTATATTTGACAAAAATTACTTCATATGTTCTGTATCTCATGTACTGTATCATTTTGAGAAATAAATTTCAAGAAAATGTTTTAGACTTTCATATACGTATGTATGAGTATTTATATTAAGAATAAAATAAAATTGAGGAATGTGATTTTATAAATATCAATAGATTATTTATTTTCTTTGATCATAATAGAAAATAATTATTATAGTCTTGAGAATAAACAAAGTTAGCAGAAGCGTTAAACTTGAAAGTTGTATTCAGCTATTCGCCCACACCCTTACGAAATACTTTTCTTTTTTCAATAGGAAACAACAAACTTCCAACAATATTCCTAAATCAATAGGTATTTCTGTTTTGTTGATACGAAGTCTGCGACATATCAACTTACAAAATTTTGTTCTGACAAATATCTTGCGGCCATTTAACAACAAAATGAAATAACTATAAAACAAAATCATTTCGTTGACTTCTGATTTATTCGATCCGTTGCGGACGGTGTTTTCCATCCTGATCGGCAGGGTTCTGAAGGTCAAATCCAGGTTCTGGAAAAAATCTTCATGTATTTTTCTTATAAAAAAAAGTAAGTGAGATTTTTAAAAATCCTCAAAACTACCTCTGAGATATATCCATAGGTATCTCCAAACAAATTTTCAGCCCAATCGGCAAAAGTTAGAGGGAAGTTGTTCATGGCAAGATGAGAACGTATGAAAAACCATCTTACAAAATTTTTTCTTCGAACACGTGTCTCATCATTTTAAGTGTTCTATCTGTGGTAAAAATTTCAATTCAATCGGCCTTGTCATTTTCAAGATCTAGGAATGGTCACAAAAAGAGAGGGGTGGATACCCTTAAGTCTTTTTGAATCGCCTCTCTTACTCTCACTTTTCCAACCCATTACGTAAGAACTCAGCATATGTCTTTTAATTTGATATCCATTTTGTTTTCTCCCATTTATATTTTACCTTCTGTTATATAAAAAAAAATAAAAAGAATAAATGCTTCAAAATTACATCTGTCGTATTCTTCAATTGCACCGAAGCTGTGAGCATATTTTTTTTTAACATTTAAGCTTATTGTTCTTGTTAAAATTAACAGTCACAGATCTCGAGAAATAAGAATAATGAAATACACGTCTGTCTTTTTTTTAATTTCTTTCTTTCACTCGTCAGCTTCTTCTCAGAACGTAACAAATAAATAATTATAGAGATGATAAAGAAAAAATAAATTATAACATCGATAGGGGAAAAGGAAGAGAAAAAATATTTTCATATTGTTTCGATATAGATATGACCAAAAAGTTTGAGTGAATAAAACCATGAGAGTATAATATGATTTGATTTCATCGCTCACTATCGATTCTATCACTTGTCTTCAAAAGACTTTTAAATCGTGTGAACATGTTTCGTTCAATAGTAGTCAATCACTCTAGCTTGATGTAAACAATTTTATTCATTCCATTTAAACGATTTAGCCAATTTCGTCTCATTCTTATCATTATGGAGTTTTAATGGACTCGGTCCAAACAGACAAGCCAATAAATCGATAAAAGATAGCAATTTATTTAATAATATATTGTAAAGCAAGAGTACTCATATCACCCGCGTAAGTATTCAGTGTAGTACTCATCATAGCCTTTTCTTGAATATTTTATGAAACGTTTATGTATTAGAATATATAAACATTGAGCAAAATTTTTTAACAGAGAACAAAAGTTAAATTAATGAGAAATAGAAAAGAAATATTTTTATAACTTATCTATATTCTGCTCCATTCTTATCTAATGAATCATTTAACTGATGGCAAACAATGGCTATTTGAACAATAGAAAAAAACGATTTGTTCATTTGAACGTATTCATTTGTCGAGTAGGATGAGCGGCTTCTTTATGCCTATAAAAGTTAAAACATTGAAGTTTATTTAATAAATTTTAGATTAAAATTCTTACATATTAAAACATTTTTTTTCAAGTCGACTATCCGCAACATTATGGAATCGTAGACATCATTACAAAGGTCGTTTTTATTGTATACATACTAAATTGAAATCTAGTTGTCAATTTGAATGATCTGTATTATAAGATTTTAGTCGTATTTCGTAATTTAATAAATAATTTATTTTTTAGTTATTTTTATGACTGTTGTACTTTTTTCAATACATGTATTTATATTTATTATTTCTTTCTTTAATTTTTGAAAGTGAAACATCGATTTCTATTTTGTTTATAACAAACATAAGTATAGTGTAATATCTTCAACTGTCAATGTACATCTATATTGTTGTTATTCGTGCTATATTTAAATAAAATGGATGTACTACAGCAGTACTAAATGGGATATAAACTTATGTGTATTTTATAAAAAAAAAGCCGATAGAATCCTCTCGAAGCAAGTGTGCCGACTAGTGTATAACACATTCTCTAATACTGATACGTAAAAACAGTGAGTTTTAGTCATATTCTCCGACGTAGTTGCCGTTAAAACCAGGCTCATTATGATTCACCATCCGGTGTGATTTATCAAAATGTTAACACCGTTTTTACTCTCTTACACAGGATGCCGGAATAAACTGATGTATCTAATATTTAATGACACTTTGTTGGAACAGAAAATAGAGAGATTTAATCAGTTTCATGAGAGAAAAAAAAGATACGATAACAGTTCTTCTTCAAATTTTCTACACCATATTCATTCACCCTCATTGACTTGATAGATGATGCTGTCTATCAGAAATTTAGTCTATCCCATATTATTCCATTTCGTAATTGGTTTACCTCAAATCAATCTTGATCTTACTGATTGGGTAAGTAACAGTGAAAGTGATGTTGTATCACAACATGATTGTATTCATGTTGCTGCTTCGATTGAAAACGGAATTGATCCTCATCAAGTAATTTCTTATTGTATGAGTGAATGGCCATCAAAATGGATTATACAGAGAAATAATCAAGATCAAATCTTTACCTTTTATCAGCTTTTTCAACAGAATATCACGAGTGAACAGTTATATCGTTGGTCAGCACCAATGGATATTGTTGAACGTTATCAATTGTACTTGAATCAGTTTTCAACTTCAAATGAATTCTTATCAATAGCAATGCCGTTGTTTTACAATTGTACATCACCAAGATTTGGTCCACTATGTCAATATTCATTGGATGCATACGAGCCTCATCATTCATCGTTGAATGAGATCGTTAGCAACTTTTATTTCCAAAAATATTTACCGACGACATTGACATGCTACATTCATTTACAATGTTATGAAAATGTCTCACTGGCATGTCTCGATTGGAGTGATATATGTGATGGCACGGTTGATTGTGAAAATGGAATGGATGAAGAACCTTGTTGGCAATTGGAAATCAACACATGCGAAGACAATGAATATCAATGTTTTAATGGACAATGCATATCTAAAATATTTCATCGTGATAATCCTAATACTTTTGAATGTCTCGATCACTCGGATGAAAGTCCCATAAAATATGTACTTTCTTCTCTTGCTACAGATGAACCAATATTTGCATACGAAGATGTTACATGTCCATTGAGACACACAATTCATGATGTGAAGCTCACAAGTTCCTGTCTAAGAGAACGCCATAACTTACTCTTGCGATTAATATTATTTGATGCACCAAAATCAGTATCTAATGAATGTTGGTCTGCATTCAAGTGTCTTTTAGATATTCCAGATGCATCAAATCGAATATGTTTTGATCTTTGTAAAGGTGATAAATGCCGGCAAATAGTTAACGCAACTTGTCCAGATATGCTGTACTTACCGTCTAAAGCAATCGTGTTTGGACACATCTACTTGGTCTACATAACCGAAGATTTAAATCAGCCTTTCTACAAGACGACATCACCTCAGTATGTATGCTACAATGAACAATTCTGTAGTGGATTTCATCCGAACAGTACATTATTGTCATTCAATAATAGCATATGTCGTCGTCCTAAAGATTTTCCATTCGTTTTTAACTCGCTCGGATTCGCGAGAGATGTCTGGAAGAATAAGTATATTTTACCCTTGTATCAAAAGCTTTTTCAATGCAATACAATTGTTTATAGTGATCCTGCAGTTTGTAACAGCTCCTCTATGTATCAATGTATCAACTCATCGAAATGTATTTCAAAGAATCATGTTTGCGATGGCATAAAGAATTGCAATCATGGAGATGATGAACAATGCTCTGGAATTGATTTGTCCTGTTTGGGACACGGGTCTAATAAACCTTTCAAATGTACGACGACAAACTTTTGTGTTCCTCAAAATGCGGTCGAAAACATTGTGTGCGATTGTCCAACGGATCCATATGATCCCCTTTTATGTGATGACGAAAACCCAAATAATAAACACTACATTAGAAAACACATATCTTTTCCAACAATTTGTGATGGTTTCACGGAACTTATACCTGTTTCCATTGATGGACGAAATGAAACAGACGAAACGGAATGTGAATATTGGAAATGCAATAACACTTACACTCGATGCGATGGCTTTTGGAATTGTTATAATGGAGCGGATGAAATTTATTGTGATCCATCACCGCCAATAAATTGTCCATCTCATCATCACATATGTGTTTCATCTAAGACACATCAACTTATGTGTCTATCTCTTGATAAAACCAATGATGGCAACATCGATTGCCTTGGTGCTATTGATGAACCAAAACTATGTCGAACACATAATTATCAATGGACGCATTTTGATGTTGAAAACTCTCTTTGTGAAGATATCAACGATGCTGGTAAACCACAGATTGTACATTTTTCACTTGATGAAAAGAGAAATTTACTGGAGAACGGAACACAAGAAAACACAAATATTATCATACCGCACTCTTCTACTTTACCAACTATTCGTCAATATCAGCAGCGCTGTCATCGTGGTCTTGCTGTACATGTTTGGTTAGATAGTGAAAAAAACGTAAGTGACATAGCATGTCTTTGTCCACCTAGTTTTTACGGTAATATGTGTCAATATCAAAATCAACGAGTTGCTGTTACTATGCAATGCCGAGTATTTTCTGATTCTTTACGAACATTATTTTCAATTGTTATCTCACTTATTGATAATAGCAATGAACGAATTATTCATTCATATCACCAATTTACTTATGTTTATATCAGAGATTGTCAAACGAAATTTAATACTTATTTACTCTATGCAACTCGACCAAAAAATCAATCAATTCAATATGCAGTCCATATTGATATTTATGAAAAGATTTCGTTGGCATATCGTGGTAGTTTGTTTATACCACTTAATTTTACTTTTCTACCAGTCCATCGTGTCGCTATTCAGCTTGATATTCCACGTATAAGAGATTATGTTGAAGATTGTTCAAATCATTCGTGTGTTCATGGTCGATGTATTCGGTATTCGAATGATCCAAAAGGCAATATATTCTGTCAATGTAATCCAGAATGGTCAGGACGATATTGTACCATTCCACGAACTAATCGTTGCAATTGCTCATTTGATTCATTGTGTATTGGTATGACAGCAAATAATCGATCTCTATGCGTTTGTCCTATATACAAATGGGGTTCGCATTGTTTACTTCAAAATACTGTATGTCAAAATATTATATGTCAAAATGGGGGTCAATGCATATCTGTTGATGAGTATATGATATCGGACAAGAAATTCATGTGTATCTGTTCCGATGGTTACACCGGCGAGAAATGTGAAATTTCCAATACAATCATCACTGTATCATTTGATAAAGGTATCGCTTTACCACAGTCAATATTCTTTCATTTCATTCGAGAGATGAACAATGCTGCACCTGAAAATGGTTCTACATTTAAATCGATTACTACCAATCAGAAGTCGGTTACTATTAACTGGCCACGACCATTTCACTTTGCTTTTGTTGAACTACCTAATAAAAACTTTCATTTGATTACGGTCCAAAAAATATACAAACAATCGGCAAATATTATCCAAACAATCAGCTCGTCAAATCGTTGTAAACATATAAAAGAACTATTCAATGAAACTATTATCAAGTATCATCTTCTTCGTCGCATCAAATATTATCATATACCATGTCAAATAAGTTCACCACAATTGTCTTGCTTCTATGATGAAGTTCATTTTTGTTTGTGTAACAATTTCAGTCATCAACGTGTAGCGAATTGCTTTGAATTTAATCATACTATGAAACATGATTGTTTTGGTAAAAGTAGTTGTGTAAACGATGGACAATGCTTACAAGACAAAGCAATTTGTCCACAAACAGCGGTATGTATTTGTCGGACATGTTTTTTTGGAACTCAATGTCAATTTAGTTCGCATTTATTTGGTCTCTCACTTGATGCCGTACTAGGTTATTATATACAGCCGCATATTAACATGTTACATCAACCATCAATTGTACAAATCAGTGTGGCATTAACTATAATTATCATGATAGTAGGATTAGTTAATGGTGTGCTCTCCGTGATTACATTTAAGAACTACAAACTACACGAAATAGGTTCTGATTTCTATCTATTAGGATCATCAGTCACTACTCTACTCAGTACAACTATATTTGCATTAAAATTCTGGATACTCATTATTGCACAAATGACCTACATTACAAACCGACCATTTTTGCAATTTCAATGTCGATCGATGGATTTTTTTGCTCCAGATCTGTCTTAATATGGGTCAGTGGTTAAATGCATGTGTAGCTATGGATAGAACTATGGTTGCAACGAAAGGAGTGAATTTTAATAAGGAAAAAAGTAGAAAAGTAGCTAAATATGTCATGTTTATACTTCTCATTATAATCATCGGTACAATTATTCATGATCCTCTTTACCGACGATTGCTAGATGATGATGATGATAACAATAAACGAATTTGGTGTATTAGTACTTATGTACCTGCTCTTCAACTGTTCAATTCAATAGTCAATATATTTCATTTTTTCGGTCCATTCATCATTAATTTGAGTTCAGCTTCGATCATCATTACAGTAATTGCTCGACAACAAAAAATTCTCCATCCTGGACAAAGTTATCAAACACTGATACGTGAAGAATTTCAACACCATAGTCATCTATTCATTAGTCCACTTATTCTGTTGATCCTTGCTATACCTCGTTTAATCATTTCATTTACTTCAGGTTGTATGACATCAAATAACAATGCATGGCTTCTTCTTACTGGATATTTCATTTCATTTATTCCATCGATGATTACTTTTATTATATTTGTTTTTCCATCGAAAGTCTACAAACAAAGATTTTGGAAGAATATCGAGCCATATCGACAAATAATACAAACACGATTACAACTTGCTCCTAACAGGTTAGTGAAAAACAAAAAAAACACAATGGATACAATGAAATGAGTTAGTGTCTGTATTTTAATCAGAAAAGTTATTACGCGATCGAAGAATAAAAGTCAAACCTTTTAGATAAGCGATTCAATTATAAGTATTTAAATCATATCAGAAGAAGTAGACACTCACTATAAATAATCGTTGAATAGATATTTAAAAAAATACGATAGGTTTTTATAACGCAATGTTTTTGTATCAAATATTTTATTATATTATTATTAAAATTACGTTTGATTTTTTCTTTCAGACCAATTCATTGATTGTCAAAGAAACAAAACACAAAATTCAATGTTCTTTTTTTGCTTTTTGTTTTGTAGCGTAACAATGATTCTTTCTTTGATTTTTACGCCGAGATAATTAATAAATGTCATATGTTTTCAAAGAATAACGATCTTCTTTCATTACCTAACCAATTAGACTATTCCTTGTAACAACTCTAATATATTATCCATATGAGAAGTGTGGGTGTGGGCGAGAGTGTGAACTGGTTAGAGACAACTATAACATCCACATCCAAATCCTCGAGAACTAATCAGCAATTAATATTACAGTACAACAAACAGTTGATTTATGTTATTATGAACGATTGATTGAACATGGACCATTTAGAATTCTAAATTCATCTATTCTAACTGTTTATATGAACATAAAGTTTTTTTGAATTGAATAACAATAATATTAGTCAATAATGCAAGTTAACATGAGATAAAACATGAAAATAATATTATTCTTATAGAAACAGTCTAAAATATAACTTCACATATATAGCTGTCAAATATCCGTTTTTACTCTTCCATACCTTTCAACTGCCGTTAAATTGCAACTAACTATTCTATTTAGACAAATGTTATTGTTCATAATATTTACATAACAATAGAAAAATACTATTATTGATGCATTTTTTAACGATAAAATGTAAATTACACACTAAATTGTCTTGTTATTTATTTAATGTGTTTATAGAAAAATTATGAATAAAAGAGATCCTCTGAGAATTATCTATTGATTATATTAAATAACATTAAAATAACTAATTTAAAATTAAAATAGTTTCCTTAATTTTTATCAAGCATAAATGGTTTAGTACATCATTTTGTGTTGTTTATATTCTTTTTGACGGTAAGTAATAAAGAAAAAATATATATGTTGCCTTATATCATGTGTTTAGAAATAAAATTTCTTCGCATATCATGATAGATAATGACTATAAAATAACTTCCATATTTTGATTTCGTTATTTATTTATTAATCTTCTTCTCTTAATAAGGTAACAATATGTTCACTGTTTAACGTGCTTGTTACCTCATCATGTTTTTTATCTTTTGTTTAACAATAAAAATAACAACAACAAAAAGAAAAATCAAATTGATTTGCCGTCTTTTCGTCTTTATGAAATCTGTTTGATTAGAAATTAAATATGACGGTTATAATGTTTGGAATGAGATGATATTGTCGATGATCATTCAAGAAAGAAATAATTACCAGCCTGTTTTTGCTCCGTATCCTATACAAAGAAAAAAACAAAATAAATTTATTACCAAAAAAAGATAAATTTACTTTAACAGATTCTTTTTTATTAATACGTGGTCGAGCATTTTCAGGATCTCGTCGAAATGTTATTTCAAGTTGTTTCAAAAATGAATTCATACCAGGTACAAGTGCTTGAGGTCTACAAACATACAAAAGAAATTTCTTTAAATTACTAAAAATTTTCATGATGTTCATACTCGGAAGCATGAGCATCAACTGATGGTTGTCCATCAAAAACAATAACACGATCAGCCAAATATGTTGCCATAATAAAATCATGTTCAACAACAAAACCTGTTTTCTTACAATGAAGAATAAATCTATTAGAAAAATAAAAATTTATTCAATGATTTCTTTTCTCGTTAAATATAATCTCATTATTATACCGTTTAATAACACGCGCAGCATGTAAACGTTGTTCAGAATCTAAATAAGCTGATGGTTCATCAATTAAATAGACATCAGCTGGTTTTCCCAAACAGAGACATAATGCAACACGTTGCAATTCACCACCGGATAAGTTTTGTACCTAAAATAATATAGTTTTTTTTTTACAGTAAATAATTAACTTTCTATCTAATTTACGTCTTGATCAATAATATTATCAATTTGAAGTGGTCGAGATACATCCGTTTGAAATTGTGGATGAAAAATAGATTCACGAATTTTTGAGTTGAGTAAGTCGCGAACTGTACCAGTAAATTTTGGACTAATCTTTTGTGGTTTATAGGATATATTTAATTGAGGAATTTCGACTAAATATGAAGAGATAAATAAAGTTTTTATTAACAAAAAAAATAAACTAACCTCCCTCATCAGGGTCTAAGTTTCCGGCTAACATTCGAATTAAAGTTGTTTTTCCTGAAAAAAATAAAAAAAACTATTTCTATTATCATTTGTTCGTTTTCGTTTTTACCAGTTCCGTTTTCTCCAAGTAAAACAATGATTTCTGATTCTGTAAATGAACCTTCATCAACTGATAATTTAAAACCACCTAAAGTTTTTTTCATCTCTGGATAGTAATGTGTTGATAAACGTTTCACTTCTTCTTCAGATGCTGTTTCAACAACTTTAAATGTTAATGCAACTTCACGAAAACGTAAATTTTCTGTTCGAATAAATCCTTCCAAAAATATATTTATACCTAGAAATGAATAAATGAAATTTTCATAATCAATAATCTATATTTAACCTTCACGAACAGAAAAAGGCATAGTAACAACACCATAATGTCCAGGTGAACCATATAAAACACAAATAAAATCAGATAAATAATCCAGTACTGAAAGATCGTGTTCAACAACAATAATATACCTTTAATAAACCAAATGAAAATAGTTAAGAATTTTAAATCTGATTAAAAAAAAAGAAACTAACCGGTTTTGTCGAATAATATCTCGAATAGCCAAAGCAGCTTTTAAACGTTGTTTAACATCAAGATAACTTGAAGGTTCATCAAACATAAATATATCTCCTTTTTGTATACAAACCATAGCGCATGCAAATCTTTGTAATTCTCCACCTGATAAATCAGATATTTGTCGATCAGTAACATTTGATAAATCAAATAATTCTGTTATTTCAGCTTGATTACCCAATTCATCTTTTTTATTCAACAAATCACGGACACTACCCTAATAAAAAATCAATATTAATCTTGAATTTTTATACAAAAACAAATAGCTTACTTGTGCAGCTTTTGGAATTTGATCAACATATTGCGGTTTAAGTATAGCTTTAAGATTTTCTTCAAGAATTTTTGTAAAATAATTTTGTAATTCACTACCACGAAAAAATTTTAATATATCTTGCCAATCCGGTGGTGCCTAGAATTATTTAAAGAAAAACAAATAAATATAGAATAACAAAACTAAACTTTTTACCGAGTATTTTCCCAAATTAGGTTTTAATTTTCCAGCTAATACTCGTAATGCTGTTGTTTTACCTGTACCATTAGATCCAACAAGACCTAAAACTTGTCCTGGACGTGGTGTTGGTAAACGATGTAATTTGAATGCATTAGGTCCATAACGGTGAGTTGTATCTTTATCAAGATTACTTGGTAAATTAATAATTGTTATTGCATCAAATGGACATTTTTTAACACAAATACCACAACCAATACATAATTCTTCTGATATATGTGAAATTTTTGATTCAGGTGTTACTTCAATACATAATTTTCCAGTTCTATTAACTGGACTAGAAAATAAGAAAGAAGAAAAATAATTTATTAATCAATCAATCAATGAATTTTTATAATAACAAACCATGAACGTTTACATTCCTGATTACATTTTTTTGGTTTACATCGATCGTTATTGACGATAGCGATACGTGTTAATGATTCTTGTTCACGGTCTATTTTTTCAGGACGACGACCATGCATTTTTATCTTATGTTTCTCTTTGAATATAGAAGAGAAATCTACAATAGAAAAAAAAAAGTATTTATTCTATAAAAATCTTAGTTTTTAAACAAACAAATGTTAAATAGAAAGTTCTTAATAAGTACAATAATTTAGAGAGTCCATCTTACTAGTTCTTTATACCAGAGACAAATCAACAACAGAAAATAATATTATTGGTATTTGGTATAGAAAAACGATGTATATGAAAAAAATAAAAAATGGATTATCATTGTATATGAGTGACCTCTGTCAAAGAAATAAATATGAAAACAACGACCTTAGCATAAACATGTTTTTTTTCTTTCTTATCACCATATACGTTTACTCATAATATTCAATATTAAGTAAAATATGTAATTGATGGGAAAAATATCTTTCGTGTCTATGTGTACCGGAATCTCTCATTTTATTGACTAAAATAGTTATGTAAAATTATAGATAAGCACTGGGGCATTGTGTTAAAATTAAAATATGGTCAAAATTGAACTGTTAGAAAAAAAATATATCTATGATAGTTTGTTTAGCGGATGCAAACGTCCGATTGATTTCCAATAGGTCTGATGTTCTGAACTCGATAAAGTATTGTAATAATAATCTTCGATTTGTGCACGATGTTCTTCACATATATCTTCATCGTTCAATGGTAATTTATATAATGGTTCATATAATGTTTTAGCAATTATATTAGTTACTTCTCGTCCACCAAGTTTTGATTCTAAGAAAGTATAATAACTTCGTTGAAAATCATAATCAGGATGATCATTAGGTGGTAATCCAGTATATTCTAAGATTTTTCCATTTATACAAATCCATAATGGAAGCGAAGGATCACGACCATCATGTTTTTGTAGAGCTTCTATAGAATAATAAACATCAGATGGAAAATCGGTAAATAATTGAAAGTTTTCTGGTTTTTTTCGAGGTATAACTGATTGTTCATTTATTAATCGATTTATATATTCTGGTCTTACTTTATAATATTCACAACCTTTTATTATAACATCCAAATAACGTTCACGTGGAAGACTAATCGGTTGATTATTGACTTTTATTTGATAGGCATAAGCAATATGAGATTGATCTTGATAGTCAATACATTTAATCATAATTCGATGATAAAAACATTCAATTTGATCTAAATGCGTCATTTGTTCACTAGGAACTAGATGAACAACTCCATCAAATTCTGCACCAGGACATATTTCTATATCAGCTATTCCAGCATGGCCTCGAAAGACAATTTTATAATCTAAACATTTTGCTGGATACGATGTGATCGATGTGATACCACGAAGATATAAAGATATTGGATTTGTCATACTACCAATAGCAAAATACCAACAAAATTGTTGTCCATTCGGTAAAATAATTTCTGGTTGCTCAAAATTATTGTAAGAAAGAATTGAATCAATGAAAGATTTTTCTGGAGAAACCAATTTTGAATGTATAATATCACAAGATAATTTAAAATTATCATGACTTGATAATGAATTTAGACGATGGAGAGAATTTGCCATTTTAATATAACATATGGAACTTTCGCATCGATTAATCATATTCTCGTACGGATTGGTATATCTAATATAGCAATCAATGTCAAGATATAGACAAAAACATAGAGTGTCACTAAACTGCACTAGCATCATCAGTCTCGGATATTCTATGTCATATCAAGAATATTATAAATATTTGATACATTGTAATACTTTTTGATTGCTAAAATGAGATAAACATTCTGATGATATCGATAATAAAATAAAGACCTTATACTTCCAGATACACGAATACAAATAATGTCTATTTTAATTTCTGATTGATATGCATTTGACGCTATCAATAGTTTAGTGTATGGTATCATTTATTCTAACAAACAACTAAGTCAAAATTTTAGTACTATTTCATTATCCCAACAATAATTAAACACCGCATAAATATAGAGAGTACTATTTTTACTACCACTGTACATAAAAAGAAAGGCTTATCAAGTTTAGCGGACAATAATGAAAGTTTCACTGCCACTGATTTTGTTTCCTGAACCCAAAAGTCTAATAGAAGCAGTGTACCTAAATTACTCTCACTACAGCTCTGCCCTGATTTTCTGATCTTTTCTCGCGTATATATAATAAACCAACTAGTTCATATCTGGATCAAACTAGTAAATACATTTCTGTCTAAGCTGACAAAGTGTACTTTTAATTGTGTCTTCTTTTATAAAATTTATTTTAATCTAATATTCTTTAGTGTGTACTATTGTGCTTCTATGTATATTTATTTTATTATCTTTAGATTTTTAAATATATGCACAGAAAACGATTTTATTCTAGACGTGAAAATGGAAATTGTCATTTTAATCAACATGTACAAAGTGTAGATAGCGCAACATATCATTATTCTACTGGGATTAATAAAAGCTATATTACCAACCCAAATGCATTATCTATCACATGGAAATCAATATTGAAGTTATTTGAAGAACTAACTTTATCATCAACAACATTTTTCTGTTCAAAATGCTTGAATGAATGTGAAAAAACAACATTTAACACTAAAATTTGTAAGAATGATTATTTTTCATTTTCCAAACGAGCATTAAAAATATGTGAAATTGTGGGCTCGGAAAACTTTGATATTCTCACACATATTAAACCAGTTATCAGACGAAATATTAATTTGCTATCAAAATATCGTTTATTCCCACCATCTGATATAACAGCAGCTTCTTTTTATAGAACAATAAAATTTAATAAAAAGTTCAACACCATAACTTTAATGATACACACAGATGGCGCACATTTGATACGTACGACAAAACTATGAATGCGGCCTTATTTTACTTCAATTGTAGAGTTGCCTCCACCAATAACAGAGTGTCAAGCTAATATTATACTTCTAGCTTTATAATCGTCAAAAAATGAAATTTGATGTAAACTCATTTTCAGATAAAACTATGTAAGTTATTTATTTGTCAAAGGAATGCGAGCTTGACATTTATAAATACGATTATCTATATATTATCTTTTTATTTACTCTAGAAAGGATATTGAACAACTTATAAATCATGATACATCATTTTACATCAACAATATGGAATATAATTTTGTTCTCTGTACGCAATTTTTCATTTCGGATTTGTTTGCAAGAGCTCTGTTCTGGAGAACAGTCAACTTTAACGGTTACTATGCATGTAATTATTATGTAACAAAAGGTATATAACATCTAAATTTATGGCTAAGTGTTAAGTCACTTGAAATAATATAAACAAAGGATTCCGAATTATGATTAGTATTTCCTTATTATAAACATCAATAGTTACAGAGATGAGTGAGTGTGAGGGCGGATGAAAGCTGATTACATTATTCACCGTTCACGCTCACACTCACACCCTCAAGATGGTTATAGATACTTTGACGGTGTGTATGTTGGTAATTTCTAGAGTATTTTTTCATAGGTCAGGTGATCTTTTTAATCATTGTATTAATCTCGCTAATTATATACCAGGAAGCGTATCTCCGCATTTAAAAATAAAAGAGGTATTATTAATTAAAATTGCTTTTCTATATAAATTCCAGTGATCCCGCAAATTTCTTCAATAGTGTCCTCATATTTGGGAAACGCATCCAATATTTGTTGCAAGTGTCTACAAGTTCATTGCTCAATCATATGGATTATCGATCGAGGCAGTTGCAAAACGCTTGGTGCAAAGCATATCAAACGTCTATGGACTCAAATGATCATTATGTCTTTATGTTTAACTCTATTCTTAGTTGTCTTCCATAGAACTGGCTTTCTAAATACTTCTCTGTATTATGATTTGTCTTCTTCATTGATCATATAACTTCAACTCTTCATTAAAAACTATATTTTATACTGTAGTTATTGCATTATCAGTATCATATGTTTGTTCTATTCTCACTCAAGTGTATTTCATACAAAGTATATAAAATAAAAACGATCATTACGATTGAAATTCTTTGAAATGCAAAAATTCCATGAAAATTATCAAACGGGAGCAGTTTTAGTAAAATAAACGTAAATTTGTTTAACTGGAAAACATTCTATTGATGATTTTTTTATTTATTCTATCGGAAAATCTATTTGTAGTTTCACGATTATGTAATTGTTTATATAACTTTTTTTTCTTTGATTTCAGATCGATCTTTAAATATATACATTATTCATATCTTTTTTCAGTTACAAACTCTTCTATTTATATCATAAAATTTTGAAGAAAACACAACAACAGTGCCTTTCTCTTTCCAAATATGTTTGACCTATTCTACTTTCTATCAAAGGATTCTTCTGCGTAATAATATTTGAGCAATTTGACTATGAAATATTGTGTTTTCTGAATTCAAATGGATACTTAGAGAGAAGTTGTGATTTATAGTATTACTATTGTCTCCATTCTTCAATAATACTTCATATCTAGCATTAGAATTGTTGTTATTTATTCAATCATCAATAATTCCTTTTTCTGTGTGATAATAACCGCAGATATAACTCATAATACTCTCTTGAACTACTCAAATAAACAATCAATTGATATAAAATTCATGGATAAATATTGTACTATCAATATATTCGTGTATAAAATATATTCTTTAGTCAATATTGCAATGTCATTCGAATCGAAAGAAGAAAATAAAAGAAATATGTATTTGTCACAAATAATCATCTATTTTGAAAGAATATTTTTCTTCGATAAAATATTAGAACAAAGAAAAGACGTATCACCAACCTCGTTTTCTTAATATAATCATGGAGATGCTGTTTTTTATTTACAAAAGAAGTTAACTTTTTATTTCCATCATTGTTTTATTCAGACGCAATACTCTTTTTGTGAAACGACGTAGTTTCTATTATTATGATTATAACAGAGTCTACATGATTTTACAAGCTCTCTATTTCTTGTTCTGTTTACATAAAACATCATAGCAACATACAATAAATAACAGAAAATTAAGGGAAACATTTACTCAAGGAATTATTTCCTTTGAGGATAAAAGTACATCAGAATGTGTTGCTATGATAAATCAATATTTAACTAACTTTAAAATATTAAAAAATACTGTTTGTTTTAATTTATCTAATAAATAGAATGTGAACACTATTCTAGATAAGTATAAAACTCAATTCTTTGGATCGTTTTGAGATTGATGAAGGAAAATATTAGTATCTGTTGAATTACAAATTGTAATCAACATGAAATGGAAGAATAACAAAAAAAGAGATTTTCGAAAGGTTATTACATTTTATGTTGTAGAAACTTAAGTCGAGTTTGTTCAATTTTAAAGAAGTCTTCAGTTTTTTTGTCTAACCAAACAGCTCATTTGATTATTCTTCTTTTACATTTTGAAGATTGAGTTTATTCTGCATGAATAATGCGACAGTTCACTGATATATATGAAGTACTCAGATTTGAATATATAAATAAATTTTAGCTAAATTATTTTGATTTTTATAGAAAATTTCATCTCTAACTGAATGTTGATTACATTGTTTTTTCGAATACAATTTTGTTCCATTGATCGTTCTTTATGTTTTTCATCTTTTGTATAAGTCAAAAAAGTGCTATTCATAAATATATTTGTTCTCAAATAACATTTAAACACCTAGGAAAATCATCTCTCCGAATATGTAAATATTTTGAAAATAAGAAAGACCTGGCTCCTTTTGTTTGATTAAATTGATGACATGAATTTTAGGAAAAAGACGTCGGGACTGTTTTTCCGTGAGATTGATTAAATAAATTTTGGGAAAAAAATATGCAGTACTCACTGAAACGAGAGAAAAAAAAATTATCGCTCAATAACTACTTTTCCTACTATTATAAATTGAATTCATTTGATTAACTTAGAATCTGGTGGTTGATGGCTTCGACAGCAGTTTATTTATGGTTTTCATTCATGATTATTACACAAACATTCGGACAAGATATACGATCAGAGGAAATGTCTGTAATACCTGATTCTAGATTTCAATGTACCAATACAACCTGTTTACCATTCATTAGCGTTATTACAACAGACATTAGGAATTGTCAATTTGCCTGTTTAAGTCAAAGTCAATGCACAGGAGCAACTTTTCATCAACCAACTTCTAATTGTGAATTATTTGATAATATGTTAAACCAAAATGGAAATATATTGGCTGATGTGGATGCTACTAGTATGAATGTTATTAGTGGAACACGGTTTCCACCAGGTCCGTATAAAATTAGAAGAGATGTAACAGAAAATATATTGCTGAAAGCTAGAAAAACTTACTTTCTTGAAAAATAATTTCAAGTTATCGAGAGTTAAGAAAACTTGGCAGAGATATTGGCCACATCTGTGTGTAAATCAGCAATCTTTTCGGCTTGAAATGACAGAAAAAGAACATCCAACCAAAGTCTTTTCGGAATCAATTGTTTTTGAGCTAAAAGGTCTCTTTCAAGATTTATTTTTCAAATTCGCCTTTGAAAATATCTTAGTAAAACGAAATCTCTTTAACTCTTGTAACTAAACAATCAATACCATTGAATATTAAAAGAATAATGAAGAAAAAATGAAATAATTATCCGACGAAACGTCTATAGATATTATACTTTTCATATTCACCAACCTATACAAAATATTGATGTCTATGAAACAAATTTTCATCGGCATTTCATAGAAATATGACGCATTCGACAGATCCTTAGGAGATAAATAAGAAATTACAGGACTTTTTTTTTATTAAGATGATGATTACAAGTAGTTTGAGGTTAGTATTGCGTCTCGTCAAGTCACGCAGAAAAACTGAACTAAAACTGGTAATCTGTCACTTCTGAATCGAACATAAATATGTCATGTAGAAATCTTCCGGTCTCACAAAAAAGTTTTTAACAGTACAACTAGATGCACTGAAATAATGAAGAATAGTGAAAAGAAAATAATAAATTAGATCAATCTAAGTTCATTCAATTCTGTGATCTTTTCTTACTCACTTTGAATTAGTTTCTAATCAAAATCTCATCTTAAACAAAAATAAAAGATTTCAAGAAAACAATCAATATGCAAATCTTCTATGACTCAATCCGTGTAGTCCGAAAAGTTTCTTTTTTTATTAAAAGTATAAGAAATACAAATTGAGTTGTCAAAATTATTATAAAAGAAATATAATTAAAGTAAATATCGTAGAATTGCAATTATAATGGAAGTCATTTAAACATTTCCTATTTTATTATAACCAACTAATACCTAACGTCGATACATTGTTGCAGAAGAGAAAAAAAATCTTATCCAGTCTTTTAGTCTCACTTTAAAATCATTTTTTTAATATAGAATCGACTACGACATCAACAACAACAATAATAACAATAACATCAACATCAACATCAACATCAATATTAACAACAATAACAGTAACAACAACATCAACATCAGCAACAACGACATCATCAACAACAGCAATAACAACAACGTCAACATCAACATCAACATCAACATCAACAACATCAACGTCAACATCAACAACAATAATAACAACAACATCATCAACAGCAATACAGCGTCAGTACTATATTAAATAATTCGTAGTACCTCAAACGATGATTACTAGATACGACGATATCTAAAAGTTTTGATTTCAGCTATTGAATAATCGCCATCTAGATAAACAACATTAGAGAACATCTTGTATCAGAAGTTAAAATGAGGCCCAGTTTCTGATGACTTCATCTGATCCATACTCATTTAAGTATTGAATATTCTTGTCCTACCCGATAGTATCATACGAAAACATTGTTGATAAAAAGATTTTCATGTGATAGAACTCATTGACCATTTTAGTAATCACTCACACCAGCCCACTCTCAAGATGATCGGAATAATTTTACACGTTGAAGTACTAGTTGACATAATATTATATGATACATGCCTATCAACACCTAATCTCATGTTTTAGGTCGCATTTGCGTAAAGTTAGGTAATTCAAAATAAATATCGTAGTAATATAAAATGCAAATTTTAAACTCGAGAAAAACGCCTTTCATCAACATCAATTAATCATTACTGTACTGATTTTCTCATGAGAAAGATGCGAGAATTCTCTCCTTTTATTCACCGTCACATCCTCGTTGACATCCATTCTTATCTACATCCTGATTTATACATATACCATCTATCTAAGATGGTAAAATTACATATTGTTTTCAATATGTTGAACAATGTAGAATGAGTTTCGCAAAAATTCTGAAATTCAATCATTATTCATCGTAACTGAGTTGTAAGACAGTGTTTAAGTTTTATTAGTTCGCGACATCGATAGAACTCGAAAAATATCGATGAAGTCGTTTATAACATAGTTTTCATTAATTTAATATCACATGTCATAATGAATCTTATCTTAATCATGAGAACAAAGAGAAGTTCCTTGAAAGTATGAAATCATTTAATCTTTGATCAATAAATACACAACTTATGCACATGAAAGATTCTAAGTCATTTTAAGAACAAAATGTTTTTTCTCACTTTTCTGCCTTATCTAGAATGGACAATGACAGGAAATATGAGTGTCGCACGATATGGGCACACAGCATCCACATTAGTAAGTGGATCAGTATTAGTTGCTGGTGGATACAATGGTTCTATTCTGGATAGTGCTGAATTGTACAATCCATTAACAGGCACTTGGGCAACTACAGGAAGCATGAGTGGCAGACGAAAATGGCACACAGCATCCACCTTATTAAATGGATCAGTATTAGTTGCTGGAGGGAACAACGGTGGTAATCTGAATAGTGTTGAATTGTACAATCCATCAACAGGCACTTGGACAACTATAAGAAACATGAGTGTCGCACGAGCCTCTCACACAGCATCCGTATTAGCAAATGGATCAGTATTAGTTGCTGGTGGATACAACAGCGGTGTTACTGCTCTCAATAGTGCTGAGTTGTACAATCCATCAACAGGTATTTGGACAACCACAGGAAACATGAGTGCCGGACGAGAATATCACACAGCATCCGTATTAGGAAATGGATCAGTATTAGTTGCTGGTGGAAGCAACAGCGGTTTTAGTTATCTCAATAGTGCTGAATTGTACAATCCATCAACAGGCACTTGGTCAACCACAAGAAACATGAGTGTCGCACGATATTATCACACAGCATCCACATTACCAAATGGATTAGTATTAGTTGCTGGTGGAACCGACAACCTTTTTAGTTACCTCAATAGTGCCGAATTGTACAATCCATCAACAGGCAGTTGGACAACCACAGGAAACATGAGTGACATACGATTTTCTCACACAGCATCCTCATTACCAAATGGATCAGTATTAGTTGCTGGTGGATCTAACGGTGCTGGTCTCAATAGTGTTGAGTTATACAATCCATCAACAGGCACTTGGACAACCACAGTAAATATGAGTATCGCACGATATTATCACACAGCATCCACATTACCAAATGGACAAGTATTAGTTGGTGGTGGAACCTACAACGAGATTAGTGCTCTCAATAGTGCTGAGCTTTTTTAATTGATATAGACAGAATGACATTTTCTTTTTTGAACTGAATCATAATTTTTTTTTGTATATAATCAAACTATTTAATCATTTACTAACCAATATATGAGCTGCAGTAATATTTCTAAGCCATATTGTATGGTGGTTGTTAGAAAATAGTGTTGATTAATAAAAGACATCATTATTTTAACAACTGAGAGTATATTTTTATTCAAGAAAAAGGGATATAAATATAGATATAAAGAATATTAATTATTTGTTGCTCCCAACCATATGTATTCGAATAAGAGCAAGTTCACATACAATGGTAACATATGTGTAATCGTTCTCAAGTGAATATTAGAAATACATAATTCAATAATATGCTCAAACAAATCAATTTTTTTCAACTATACCCTTTTTTGTCAAATAGGTTGATCTTGAGGGTGTGGGTATGTTATGACTTATATACTCATACCCACCCCCTTAAGAATCACATGATAATTTGAAATTTTGCTTCACTTGATGATGGACTTAGACGATGAAGTGAATCTGTCATGATAAAAGAATTTTTATTATGTGTCACCAAAAAGCATATTACTCACTTTACTACAATAGTAACTAATCAAACAACTTACAATCCTTATTTTACCATAAAAAAATTATCGTTCTGTTTTTGAGATGACAAACAGTCAACTTTTGTATTTAAATGTATCTATTCTCATTAAGTTTTCTCAGTTAAAAAGTACTTTGTAATTTTATTCAACATATGATAAGAGACTAGCAATCGTTATCAAACAAAATATATAAGAATGTAAAGTTTTATTAACCTAATGAATAAGAATAATATAACAAATACAAATAAACGAAATATTATAAATGTTCTATATCGAATGTAAAATGAAATACATAATTCAAACTGTAGTATATTCATTTATTTTGAGCAATTTCACTAAATCGAAAGATAATTTAAGAGATAGAATCTATAAAAAAAACATAATATAAATTCAATGAATAGTTAAGTAATAATCCTACCGCAACAATTGTCATCAATATAAAAAATATTACAATAAAAATAATATATTCATAGACTTGATTAGTGCTATGATCAAAACCTAACACTGTAATAGATAAGATAATATAAATCAAAAGAATCGATATTGCGATAAATAAAATAACTCCAATAATTGCAAACTAAAATTAAAGAAAAAGCAAGATTAGAATAATAAAGAATATAGGATATAACATACAATAAATAATCCAGTTCGATATTGTTTATAGGCAACTAAAAGACCAAATGTATAATAGAGAGTTAAAGCAATAACTGGTATTAAAGATTTAATATCATTTGAAATATTTATTGTATTATCAATAAATATAGCATAAATACCAACAGCAAGTGTTACAATACAGATAAACTAATTACATAGATATAGATTTTTATTATATCTAAATTACAGATAAAATTCTTTTCTTTTTAAACTTACCCATTGTGCAAAAAGAAGTATAAGAAGAAATTTTCGAATATTAAATCCATTCTGTTCATTAAGATCAGTAAATGATTGTTTCGTATTGTAACTTTGATCTAATGATAGTGTCTTATCTATTTGAGGCGGCATATTGAAATGAATCTTTTTTATATAATATACAATTGAAGATGCGTTTAAAATAACTATTTACGATTTCATTTTCATTGCCAAATTCACGTCACAGCTGTCGTTAATGTGATTCATTTATATTTTATACCTTGTAAAGGTTATTGACTGTCGCATACTAATTAGTCTGGATGAAAAATAGAATAATATTTCTTTTTTCTCATATCAAAAAAAAAATTTACTAAACCAAATTTTAAGTACAGTTCACAAGTAAATATTGTTTTTTTAACATACATTATTATATCAACGAAATCCTTTTTTTTTTATTTTATATTCTCGGAAACATTAATTTTTTTTCTCGTAAATATTTAATTCAACATGATTTAAACACTAATTAGAAAAGAATTCTATCATGACATGCAAGATATATATATATATTGCCTGACTATTTCATTAATAGATTTGTTTCTATGAAGAAGAAATAAAAAACAAAATCTATATATCGACGGTATACATACGGAATGCATTTAATATTAATTAAGAAAACAAATGAATAGAGACTATACATGAGAAAAAAAGAAATGAACTTGACAGACATAAAAACAACATTAAATAAAGATCTTTATATATTTGGAAAATGTGTAAAATTATCTCCATAAGCTAAACGTTTCGATTGTGGTGATGGTTTTATTGATAAATCTGAATCATTCGTTAAATTTGTCGTTGATACATTTGCATGTTGAGAATTTCCAAAACGTGATTTCGTTACATTTATACGTTGATCAGGATCAAGATAGATTTCAAGTCGACTTGGCCTTAAATATTCTCCGGGATTCGTTGAAGTTGAATGAACATTAGACAGATGTGTTCCAGTTATGCCCATTAAACTTGGAAGAGTTTTCTTTTAAAATAAAAATATAGATTTAATATTTCTTTTTCATTTGAAATCATCAAAAAACTAACTCCTGGATTTTGCTGTTTTGTACTAGGAATATAAACATTATTTTGAAGTTTCGTTTGTTGCTGTTGTTGTTGCTGTTGCTGTTGTTGCTGCTGTTGTTGTTGTAATAATTTTTGTTGTTCACGTTGTAATTGCTTTTGTTGTTCTTTTCGTTCTCGATCGAATTCATTCGTAAATCCATCAAAATATTGATGTTGTATTAATTGATTACATGTTGAACGTTTATCAGGATCCATTACTAAACAACTCTATAGAAAAAAAAGAGTTTTGTTATAAAGATTAACAAAGTAAGAAGAAATTTACTTTCATAAAATCAAGACTACGTTCAGATACATATGGAAATTTTTGTTCTAATGGTTCAATTGTATCAGGTTCAGGAATATGCACATTTTTATAATGAGGATTACTTTTTAATATAGTTACATGTTTATCAATAAGATTACCTATTAAGAATATATATAATTATTATATATGTATGTTGTATATATTACCCAGAGTTTTACGAATTAAATAAAGTTGATCAACATCTGATTTACCTGGCCATATTCTTTACAATAAAAAAAATTAATTACAATTAAAATTATATTTAAATTTACGGTATGCCAGAGTATAATTCACAAAAAACACATCCAATTGCCCAAACATCAACAGCTGTCCCATATTGTCGATCTCCGACTAATAATTCTGGTGCTCGATACCATCTTGTTGCTATTTTATTTGATCAAAATCATTAAATTTCTATATGACTCTTTTTTTTCATCAATTTAATTAACTTACCCACATAATCAGTCATTTCAAGTTGTTGACCTACGTTGATAAGAAAAAACATTGATTCATTCTTTTCTAATTACAAATAAAACTTACTCATCAATCTTGCAAATCCAAAATCACATAATTTCACAATATTTTGCTTTGTAATAAGAATATTTTCCGGTTTCACATCAACAAAACAAACATAATCAACAAATAAAAACTTTTTTTTCTTTTTTTTTTAATTCAACTTACCACGATGAATACACTAGAATAACAAAATATATAATAAGAATAAAGAAATTTATTTCAGTTCTTCTTACATTATGACGATGACAAAAATCTACTGCATTTAATACTTGATATGTTATTCTCTTAATCATTGTTTCTGGTACACTAGATTTCAAAACATATAAATAATTAAAGCAAATAAAATTCATTAAGTAATATTTTACCCATTACGATATGATTCAAGTTCATCAAGTACAGTTCTATCGCAATATTCAAATACCAAATGTAATTTATGTTTTCGTTTTGTTTTAAATACTTCAATTAAATTTACTAAATTTTCATGTTTTAAATGCTAGAAGAACAAAAAACAATATTTTCATTCTTCGATATAATATTCTATTACTTTTAACATTCGAATTTCTCTCATAGCAATACGTTTTATTGCTGGATCATCATCAGATTCAATAAATTTTTTAATTGCAACTGTTTCACCTGTATCTTTATTTCGACATTTAAAAACTTGTCCTTAACAAAATACAAAAGATATTGATTTTTATTGAAAACAATATATATAATTTTACCATAAGAACCTTCACCAATTTTTTTGATTTTTTCATATTTATCCATATTGACAAGAAAAAAAAAGTTATTTATTCAAAATCTAAATTTTTCAAATGAAATGAAGTAGAAAAAAAAGCATGAGAAGAGAAAGTAAAATATTTCATAGGATTCATTAATAATTTATCGACGTTATTATGTAAAGAAAAGAAATATATCTATGCATGTTCAGTCATTCATTAACCATCCAATTGTCAATGTCACACCTTCATTCTGTTTAGTTACTTGGATATTTCCATTTGTTTATGCAGTCATATTAGTCTTTATTTATTGGTTAAAATTATTAACCAATCATAATATTAGAAAATGCACTGGTCATTGATAGCATGAGATCAAGTGTATTAACTAAAGATAAAATGATGCTATGTATTTATTGCATTAAATTCAAGATAAACGATTGTTTTTTGCATTTGAAAAGATAATTTTCTTATCTAAAATTATAATAATCATTGATTGTTTCTTTATCTTTATGGTATAATGTTAGTCTTGCATGTCTATCACAATATATATATATGCTAATAAATAATTCATTTCAGTTAAATACAAAATATATTCATTGAAATGGCACTCTATTTGGTAATGTTGTAAATGTTTAGATCATTGTAGTTGTTTTGTTTGTCTATGGCACGGATAGTTTGCATTTATTTTGCACAATGTTAAAAATGACAGTTGAAATGCACTCGTATATTACACGTTTTTCTTGTTAGTTAAAGCTTTTCAGACACTAGTTAGTCTTATAACCGATACAATTAACAGTAAGTATGCTGTGAAATATATGAAGAGAATATTAAGAAACCTTTTATATTGTTAGAACATTCAAGAAAGATCAAAATGAAACCATTAATAATATGAAAGCGTGCAAACAATTGCGGAATACCTTTTTTTTAATTAACGAATGATGTAAAATATCACTTCATTTTTCATCGATCTTACTACAATATATTTTGAAAGAATGATTGCTCAGAATCTACGTTGAAAGTACTATCTAATTGTTTTAAACCATACTAAAATATATTACAATTGTAAAACTCAATTCATAGAAGGAGTCGATTGTCTATCAGATTCGTACAGAATTAAACGACGAATATAATGAAAAGCATATTAAAATATCAATGCCTTATATAAAGACGTATTTGTTACTCAAAGATAACGTGTGATTATATCAATATGTAGTTGGAAAGCAATTTCAACATAGATTCGAAATAGGCATTTTTTATCTTTACGAAATATATTGTAACCAATGAAAAATGGAATGACATTTTTTGTATCATTCGTTATTATTTGCATTCAATATATTATATTTAGTGACATTAGTTTTTATTCTTCTTTCAAAATTGAATGTTTTTGATAATAAAATATTATCTTAAGTTTATTTGAAATGTCATCTTCAATCTATATATTTTATATATGATCTTTCTAATAATTTCATTATCATATATACTTAGATGAATGAGTTTGATTAAATTTTATAAGATTCGATTATTGGATCAATTATCCTTGATAGCAGTCAGATATTTTATCATTTTATTATTACCATCTCATAGACTATCAGTACAAACATTCCATTCAGTTTTCATGAGATAGATTTACATCCATCATAAAATATGATAATATCTATATGTAGATGTGACTAACATTTAGTTCTATTTGTGGTATAGGAAGCCTTTGAAAGATATCATGCTCGTTTAATGACAACATATATATTAGTATTCTCTACATACTCCATAAGAAATTTCAACTTATTTTCTCTCTATTTATAAAGGAAACAAAATAATACGCCCAAGGAAAATATTTTTAAAGAATAGTTTGATTTCTAGACCTATCATATGTTTCTTACTTCATACTTGTTCGTTCCAAAGAATTAATTACACACACACACTTACTCATGTTTTTCTTTACTGCAACTATAAGGGAGTGAAAATATGAAAGTACTGAATCGTAAAATGAGAGAAAACAAAGTTCTCAGTAATGCTTTTTTTTTCGTAATGAAAACAACAATCTTTTTTACAAAAAAAAACTTTCAACGCGATGTGCTTTTATATATTTCCTCATGAATCAATTTTAATTAGTAGATCTATTTTTATTTTCATATAGAGAATATTGTCATGTGACTCATAGACAAGTCAGGTGTCTTTTATTTGTCATTCTTAAGAAATTTACAGTATATTTGATAAGTTGTAGAAAGACCTTTTTATGTGATATTTCATGTTAATGTAGATCATTAATTTATACAGTTCGATTCATTTCATATTGAAGTACGACTCATTTTTATTATGAATAAACACGAAATAACTTTATTGCATAGTGCGTCAGTCAATTCATATTCGTTCTTTTCTTAAATAGTACATGTACTACTATGTTTATGAAGACCTATAGACGTACTTTAGAAAAAAAAGAATTCAAACTAACGTTTTTCTTTTTATGATTTAGATGATATTTAAAGTATATCTTGCTGATTATATTGGATTAAATACGGCATATATTTAATTAATTATCGATTCTTTCATCTATTTATTTTAATATTTATATAAAACAAAACTATTATCATCATTTGTTTAACCAACAATAAGTAAGCATTGAAAAAATAACAATTCATAGTAAAATAGGCTTTTTATGTAATGAATCTTTCACTGAAAGATGCATCAGACGAACATCACAAAAGAATTTACTTATTGTAAACAATTATCGAGGCATATATGAAGAGGTTGAAAAAAGTACAAATTACAGATTTTTAGAAGAATGAAATCAATACAGCCGTAGAATGGTAAATATTGAAAAGAAGAAATCTTAGAAATTAATTTAAGTTAATGAGTTTTATGAATTAGAATTTCTAAATTCATTTACTTTGTTTTTTAATAAATTAAAAAAAAATTATTTGTCTGTGATGACATTGAAAAATTCCTCAACATCCATGACGACAAAAAAAGCAAAAAATCATTTCAACGAAAAGTACAGTTTACGTTGTTATGAATATACTATATATAGACATTTGTGTTCTCTATTATTTGTAGTTCTGCAACTATTATGTATACTTGATTCAGCGACTCGGTTTTTTTCTCTCTCTCTCTCTCTCTCTGTCGTTCTAATGTATATAAAACGAATAGTTTGTCAATATCGATTTATTCATAAGCATTTATGTTTACTAACGTGTGCGGCTCTTTTCTTTTTTTGCTATTCTCCTTCCGTTCATTTTTGAGAAGTTTAAAAGAATGTTTAGTTCTTCTCACATTTGAATTTCTTTTGTATGTAATAAGCTCAACTGAGTATGATGAACTAATTTTAATATAAATATGTTTTATTGCTTTTTTTTCTTCCTTTCTTCCTTCTCTCTCTTTCCTTTTTTTCTTTCTCTCAATGATATCTATATACAAATTTTTCTAGTAGAAAGAAAATATTTATTGATAAATGTACGTCAATAGAATATATTTAACTTTTTATTTTAATCTGACTAACATTGATAAGAATGTATGTGTGTAGGTCGCAAAGCAGGTACGTTAATGGATTATCTCATAATATTAAATGAATAGGTTACTTATTTATTTGCTTTAAAAAAACTATCTCTACACCCCCATACAACGTAGGTCATTTAAAGTACATAAAATTATAATCTTTGCTCTTCAAATTTGATTTCTCATCGTTATTATTATTATATGACATATTGACCATGATGCTGATAGAATACGATGTAGTAGTTAATGTCATAGTACGTGATAGAGCAATATATGTATTTTGTATGCAGTGAAAGATGTTTATAATGGAGAAACTAAAGAACAAATATATATTTGTTGTTTTACACCGTATGAAGACTAAATTATTTATAATGGGAAAATCAAATTGATCTTATTTGTTTTGCTTCTTTTTAACTAGATCGATAGGAAAAAAAGCATTGAAGGGATAGAAAAAAAATTTCAAATAAAAATAATTTATTAGAAATTGTAGAAGAGAAGAAGAAGAAGGAAAGACATGTTTCATTTGCTATTTACGTCATTTTTTTAAAAATGATGGTTTGTAAATGTTGATATACATCATATTTCTCTTCTCTTCTGCGTGTATTATTCCTTTTCTTTTCTCACGTTGTCTAGAAATGTAGAAACAAAAGTATTTGCTAGTGGTTAAAGAATAAAAAAAAAGTCGAGAAAAAGAAAAGAGAGAATAAAGAGATGAAGCCAAGAGACAGTTTTATTAGAGTTTCTCTGTACATATTAATATTAGAAATTCAACGTCTAAGAAAAGACACAATTACTAATTAAACAGTTTTTTTCTATTTTCCAGATGTTTCCATCAACAACACAAGAAACTTTAATTGAAGACGAGATTCCAATGACGCACGCAGGGCTTTTACGTTCTATATCAGCATTAGGTACAAATGACTTTAATGAGTTTATTGCAGACCAATATGGAGGATGTTGGGGTACACTTAAATTTGAAGATACATTAAGTGATTATTCAAACGACGTACGTATTTTTCTTCTCTTTACGATAAAGATCTGTCAATTATATATCAATTAAATTATTCATCTTTCAAATGAATCATATATTCCCTATTGATATTTGAATAAAAATAAGAGTCACTTTGTAATTCAAAATACTTAATTAATTCTTTTTTCTTTAGGCTCGATCATTTTTTTATGTCGATGACAATATCGATTTACATGTATTACGTCAATTTATGATAAATGAATGGCAATTGCAATC